GATGCAACTCTTAAGCACACTTGAGGAGTGAGAAGCATGGAACTATGACAATACTACATGCTCTGAAATGATGTTAGGAATGATGCCAAATCACACACATAACACAAGCATGGCATGCATAAAGCTCAAAAGCTAAGAACTAGCAAAGGGACTTAAGCCATGGCCGTACAAGGCAAGCCCCAAAGGGCTAAGGGAACCTAAAACAGTCCCAAGGCAGGTCCAAACAAGACTATAAACAAGCTCGAAGCTAGGCAACATAGGCTAGAACACAAGGCCAAAAACATGGAGCATGCGAGGCTATAAAAGAGGCAATGCACTATACCTATTAAAACCAAACATGGCATGACTTGGACAACACAAAACAGAGTTACATCATGGTATAACAAGACCAAAAATGCACTGATATGATGAGCCAAAGGCTTAGGCTTAATGGCATCCACAATGATCCAAAGAGCCAAGCCTCCAAGGCATTAAAAGCATGTCAAATGCAAGTGTGTGGCCACATTTCATGGACTGGAATAACATTTAAAATGATGGAAAAGCATGCAAACATCACATGTATGACATGGTAGGGGCTTCAAAACCCAAGGCTAGCTTAAGCATTTACACTATAGCTATACAAAGCATGAGTGATATGGCCATGGAAGCCTAAAATAGTGTTAGAACACCTCAAAATAAGAACAAAATCATGCTGGAGCAAAGCCAAAATATGCTAGGATGATGAGTCAAAGCATCATGCACATAAAGCTAGTAAGCAAGATTTGTTCTACAAGTATATGGAGCATATAAAATACGACCAAACTAGCAAAAGATAGAGTCATGACATGCCAAATGTTGACCAAATATATGTTGAAACGGACTGAACATAAGCTAGGATGACATGCTAAAGCAAGAAGCATATAAAGCTAGTTTATGGGATTTACACTACAAGTGTATTGCACATGCATGGAGTGACAAAACCAACCCAAAATAGATCTAAAGCATGCTAAAACATCCCCAAAAACCTATTGAAATGGACTCAACACAAGCTAGGCAAACATGCTACTTTGATGAGCTACAAATAGGATTACACTACACATACAAGATGCATGCAAAAGGTGACCAAACTAGCCATGGACAGAGCCAAGGAAGGTCCTAAAAGTCACAAAAAAGGGACTGAACCAAGCCTCAAAAATACATAGAGGCATGCCCCTTTGGAAAGCCAATAATGCAAGCAAACAAGAACCAAAAGAGAGGGGGCCACCCCCTCTGATTTGAGGCCTCAAAACCATATGCATACCACTGAAAATCCACTGGATTTCAGTGGTAAGAAGGCCAAACCAAGGCTAGCTCGGAGGCTTTAAGGCATGGCTCAAAACAAGGCCAAACAAGGCCAACAAGAGGGTTGAAGACCCTCAACAGCCAAAAGACCTTAAACAAACTTCAAAAGCACTCAAATACAAGACTTTTTTCAGTTGAAAGCAAGGCCTAAAACAATAAGGATGGCTAAAATGAGGTACAAAAAGTGCTAAAAAGGGGAGGAAACTCACCATTGAAGGTCAACTTTGAAACCAGCAACTTCAGGGGGTAGAACCTCACTTTCAGAGCTCAAGAACCTCAATCCAATGGTGGTGGTGTATCTCCAAGTGTTGTAGTATAAAAGTGCAAGGAAAATGGACTTCAAGGCACAAATGAACAACAATATATAGAGAGAGAGATATTTCTTCTAAAAAATCTGAACCTCTGCTAAGGAGAGAGGCTCTCTCCTTATATAGAAGAAAAGCAATGCGATGCTTCTTCAAGAAGCTTGGCAAGAGCTTCATCCCTCCATACACGTGTATGGAGGGCAGATAAAAGGATTCTGGCTGGCTCAAAAGATCTGGAGAGAAACTTGTTGAGACAGGGGTGCTGCTGGCTCATTGATGGCCGGCAGCAACAAAGTGAAGGCCGGCAGGGCCAAAAGGTGGCTGGCAGTGCACCAAGAAACACATTCTGAAAGGACCAAGTCATGGTCCAAGAATGGGGAAGAAATGATACAGAGTTTGGAAAACTCGAACCTGTGACGTTCCGCCACAAAAGTCGAATACCCAATGAGCAATCGAACTTGTGTCCGGATGTACCTACAAGCACAACCAACTCTTGAGGACGATCAAAAATGGGGTGTCTACAATTACACAACAAGATATGCTTTATACCCATATAGATATTAACTAATCTAAATGCCCCAAACCATTACACACTTGCAGAATCAATTTCGAACTGTAGAATTAAAATAAACAAATTTCATGAATTCTCAAAACTGAGAATAATAATTGAAAATAATTTTGGTTCTCTGATTCCTTATGCCACAGTAGTGTGCTAGTGATCAGGCCATTATATTATATGGATAGCATAAACGAAAACAAAATAAAATATGATCTAATAAGATTTGGCCTCCGTAAATTACAGTAATGCTGAACAACAAACAGAAGGAGGCTCTGATACCAATTGTGAGAATTAAAATAAATTCAGAAAGAAGAATACCTCCTGCCATGATGTTCAAGCCTTTGAATCTTTATCCTTGAATGGTCAAATCTTGAATGTATAAACGAAACCCACTCACTAAATACTTTTACAGATCCATATGGGAAAAGTGAAAGGAATAGAGTTTCAAGCCTATTCTATTCACAAAACAACATCTGTGTTTGATGGCTATCACAGGCATATATATAGATAGGCTTGGACCCATATCCAAGTGTAACCCCTTATAACTTCCCATCATCAGGGAAGTTGTAAAGTCCCATGAAACCACCATATGGAATAGTAAACAGACATTAGTGACCCATTAGCCATTAAACCAATTAAATATATAATATATATATATATATATATATATACATAATATAAATAAAGAAATAAAGAAATAAAATAAACATGTGGCATATGTGCCACTTTATGGATATTCTTACATTATTAAAATAACATACTAAAATAACTAACTTTCCAAACAAGGCCAATTGATCACATAAATGATAAGCACTAAAATCACAGTTTTGCACACAAATTTTATTACACTGGCATTATTGATCCAAGTGTTTCTTATATGGAAAATTATTAGGTATTTCAAAAATATCACGTGTTCATACTCTCTCATTAATCATTACTTATCATGTCCTCACATTTCCTCAATCATCTAATATAAAATCATAATACCGCACATTCTCCACCAATTACAATATTATGGAGCACCACGTAATCGTATTCCGAGACTATCCAATAATATTATGGGCGATTTGTTAACTTTTTTTTTCTTCTTATTTTTTGTTTTTGTTTATTTATTTATTTTTTTAAAAATTGAAAACGAAAACTTATTTGATATATTGTATTTGTTTTTTTTTTAAAAAAAATTGATTTTAAAGTTTTTTAAATTTTTGAAAACATAAATAATGTTTGTTAACTTGTTTTTGAAACAAGTTTCCACTTTGTCCTCTTACCTACTACCTTTGGCCAGTACCCACCGTCACTGCCAACTACCGACCACCACCTACCCCTGCTGTTAGTGGGTGGCGACCTCCAGCCACTCTCCGGAGTGTGGACGGTCACCATTGTGATATTCGGCCACCTTTTAGTGTTCTTCCGGCCACCCCACGTCCTTCAACGACATCTGATACCACGAACACCGTCAAACACCTTTGGCTACATGGCACTACCAGTCACTACATCCGTCTACCCTCCATCTTCGGCCACCGAATTCGGCAACTCATCAAATATATTTCTCAATTTTTATTTTTATTTGTTTTCAAAATATTTTTATACATCAAACAAGTTTTCTATTTTTTTTGTAAACTGAAAATTGAGAGCTAAAAATGTTAACAAACGAGACCTCAGAAATATTAGCTTGCTTGGTTCCATTTTTTCAAGAATACTTTTCAGAAAATTCTACTTTCTTATTTTCCGTATTTTTTGATTTTTATTGAATTTTTTTAATATTTTAAGCAATTTCTTTTCTTTTAAGACACACTTAACATAAATACACTTAAAAATTAAAAAAAACTCTTTAAAAAATTCACTAAATAACAAAAATATAAAAAAAAAATTACAAGAATTCAGTATTTTTCTTGTATTTTTATGTATTAAATAATTTTTTAAAATATTTTTTCATAAATTTTTTACTTTTTAGATACATCTAAGTAAAGTGCACCTAAAAAAGTAAAAAAAAAAATTTAAAATTTTAAAAATATTCAGTAAAAACAAAAAAATATGAAAACTTAAAAACTCAGTTTTCAAAAAATTTAATCTAGAAAACTCAAACCAAACACGTTTAAAATCAAGTTTTTCAGTTGAGTTTTCATAAATTAATTTAAAATTATTTTTTGAAAAATTAAAAATAAATTTGACAAAAATAAATAACAAAAAATATATTTTGAATTTTTGAAAATTGTTTATTCTCCAAAAAAGTGAAAATAAAATGAAAATAATGTATTTTTTATTTAAGAAAATGCACATTGCCAAACACAATTCTATTTAAGAAAGACTTTTTGTGAAGGACTTTGGCTAATGTCCATTGTTAAATTTTAGTATTTCCAATTTATCCAAGTTTGTATAAGAGGTTTTAACCAATGGATTTTAAAGTCCAATTCTATTATCCAAAATTTCTAAGGTTGATGTATATTTGTAATTTATTCAAAAGAGTTACGTTAGGAATTCTAAATATTTTATCAAATATTATACCAAACCTCTCACATAGGTGTGGGACGATACATGTGGATTTGTGTAAATCTCACCCATGTGAGAGGTTTGGTAGAATATTTGAGATACATAACATTTCTCTATTCAAAATTATATAAGAGAAAGAGACAAAAAAAAAAAAAAAAAGAAGATCAAGAGAGGGAAGAGGAGAGAGTGATTGACAACTCAGTCCACACAGAGAGGACGCGGAGACGGAATGAGGGAAACGGTAGGCTTCGATACGATTTTTTTTTGAAAAAAAAAAATAATTATTTTGTTTTATACATATATATTATTGTATATATTCCAGTAGACTTCAATCTTATATATATACTTGATTGGTTGGTTCTATCCATGTAAACAAATTACGTGATAAAAAAATACTTGATTGGGTGGTTCTGTCCATACAAAGAGGCTTCCAATTAGGGGTGGGCAGGGGGTTATCCAACCCGCACAACCCGCCCGCAACCCGAAATTCTCTCATTTTATCACCGATCGGCGATCACACTCATCATCTCAGGCATCTATCTCTCTCAGCAAAGCAACCACTTATCACTCTTATCATCTCAGGTAAGCATCTCTCAAAACATCTTCTCACAGTTCTCTTCTCATCTCACTCTCTCACTCTTGTTCTTCCATCTCTCTCTCTCTCTCTCAGCGAAGCGACCGATTCCATCTCTCTCTCTCAGCGAAGCATCGATCAACCTTCGGCAACTCTCAGGTAAGTCTCTGTCTCTGTCTCCGTCTCTCTCTTTCTCTCTCTCAGCGAAACACCGATTCCATCTGATCTGCTTATCTTGTAAAAATCTAATCTGTGTTGATATATATATATATATATTTTTGATAAATAATGATCTGTGTTGATATTCAGCAAAGATCTGATCTGATTTGCTTCAGAGTTGGTATAGTTGGGTCGATTTAGATTTGATTTGTAAAAATCTGATATGTGTTTTGTTGATTTAGATTTGGCACACATTATATTTTATTTTTGGGTGTTGCTCTTCTGTCTCATATTCATATTGTTATATTCATCACCATTATATTTTTCGCTTACAAATGTGATGCTTCTATGTGCAATTTGTTGAATATTATATTTTTGGGTGTTGCCATTTTTTCATTTCATCCAGCAGCTTCAAAGTTGGTATGGTTGTTGAATATACAATTTGGTGTTTGAATTTGAGTATCCATCACATTGAGACTAGATTCTCAAATGAATATGCAATTTGGAGTTTGTACTATTTGTCATGTGAATTAAATAAACACTTCCAATTTGTTTGTTCTATTTGTTTATTTAATGTCTGTAAAATTGATTCTGTGATTGTATTTTTGTAATCCAGTTTAAATGGAGGATAGTATTCAATCTCCCGCAATCAATCTTGTACCTCCGGAATCCTCTAATTCTCAAATGAATCCTCTCTTAGTCGAACCCGAACCTGAACTTGAACCTAAGCCTCCTAGACTCCTAAAGAGAAAGAGTGAGAGTAGTGGAGAGGGGAGAGCACCATCCACAGTTTGGGATCATTTTGACAAAGTTGTTTATTTTTTCATATCAACATATTTTCTTACTATATTGAGATGCAATATATAGACATTTGTTTATTTTTTCATTTCTTACTATCTATAATTGAAGATTAAAGTTTATATTTTTTTTAATTTGTTTGTGTAGGGTTCATTAACCAAATGCATAGAATTAGAATTGGAATTTGCGAAAGTTGAATTGGATGTGATTCATGAAGATGAAGTTTGATATCTTAGAAGTATTTTAATTTTATTTCATGGGTTTGTATTGAATGAAGTTTAAGTTTGACAAGAACTTTTTTTTTTTTTAATTGCGTTTTGGTTTTGGATGAATGTAACTTAATGAATTTTTATTTTTTTTTTTTTTTTTATAATGAAGTTGGATAATGTGCATACTTGTGGGGTTGTTGCTCGTAGATCTTGTAGCAAAATGGTTGGTTCTAGACTTGTGTCTGATATTGTGCAAAATGATATTAGTGATAATCCATTGACTTCACCTATGGTCGATGTTGAATTTTTAATGTAGGATTTTCTTATTTGGATTATGAATGATGAATGTAAGATAGGATGAATGCAAGTTAATATGATAGAATGTAGATTTTGAGTGATTTGTTTAGGTTACGAATTGAATTTGTTGTGTTTTTTATTTTATAAGTTTTTTTATAAGTTTTAGTTCATTAATTATTAATGTTGGAGCATTTTAGAAAATATGAGAAAAAAGGTCCAAAATAAAGATTGACAAAATGAGAGAAAAAAAAGGTTTAAAAATAATTTTTTGGAAAAAAAGTTCAAACCGCAAACCGCCCGCAATCGCCCGCAAAACCGCGAACCCTATCCGCACAAACCGCAAACCGCATTACGGGCGGTTGCGGGTTGATTTTTTCCCAAACCGCATAGATGCGGACGAATCCAAACCAAACCGCAAACCGTCCAAACTAAACCGTGGACACCCCTACTTCCAATGGTACTCGCCAAGTTGCCATAAAGCTTTAACAGCACAACTATTAAAGTTAATCCAAATAGAAGTTATAAAAAAATACTTGCCTCTTAAATTTCACCTCCGAGTACCGCCGCTTCATGATTAGGAGTTTTTCACCGAAGTGGTAGTCTCATTATTGAGAATTCCATACTACAAAGTTTGTTTATCTTGAAATTTAAATATGAAAAAAATATTATTTACTGTTTGTTTGATAATTATTTCGTTCTTAATTTTTAATTTATATTTATAAAATTTTTAAAAATTATCATAAAAACTTGTTTGATAATTTTTTTGGTTTATAAATGATTGTTTCAGTTTATAAATTTGAGAAAAAAAAATATAAACTCAAAAAAATGAGTTTATGTTGGTTTTTAAAGAAAAATTTAAAAATTTGACTAACAAATTTTTTTTTTTCAATTAATATATTTTTTCAAATAATTTTTGTTTTTCAATTAATTTTTTTTCAAATATTTTTTTTCCAATATTTTTTTTTTCAATTAATTTTTTTAATTAATTTTTTTATTAATTATAATGTGTATGATCCCGTTGTCATAAATAATAAATAATAAATATAAATATTTTACGCTTGAACAAACATATTTTTAATTTATGTTTTTAAAATTTTTCAAATATTTTGTTCAAACCAACCGCTTTTATAGTTTATGTTTTTCTAAAAATAAACAAAAACCAATTTATAAAATTTTTATAAACATAAACAAAAAACGTAAACGTTACCAAACACTGCCTAAGTGTACACACTTCCACTGTAACGCCCCAAAATAATTTCCATAATCCAACCCAACACAATTGAAGCAAGACAACATAATTGAAATAATAAACTTTCATTAATCTGAATTGTTATACAAAAAGTGACACATGCGATATACATTCATAAATAGTTTATCCTGAATCTACAGTATGTGTTACAATTAGTAAAGAGGAATGAAAGCTAAACATATATTTATATGCCCTAAAGGCTTACTTCTTTCTAAGTCATTACTTGGTTACAACAAAAATGATACTAGTTCAACACAAATAAAGCCCTTGGTTACACAAAAGAAAATACAACAAAAGGAAACTCTTGCTCCAAAGTCCCTCCAAGCTATTGCCTTGGCGAAGGCATGTCACCAACACCTGAAAATGGTTTTTCCCAAATAAGGTGAGCCAAAGGCCAGTAGGAACAATCTAACACAATATATGAATCTTAACAAAGATATAAGTACAGATGCACATACAATGGTTGTGAAGGAACATTCATATTCTACATTATTGTAAAATGCCAAATTTTCTACTCAATCCATTTTCCTTTAATTCATTTCAAGTTAATTTATTTAATTTCAATACATGAGTCGATTTTATTATCTTTCAAACAACCCGACTGTGCCTACAACTTAGTGGTCTTCAAATCAACACAACTATCACACAAACACTTCGATTTGTCATTTTACGGAAATTTCGTTTGCAGGATAGGCACCCATATATACGTGTGGTTTTGAGACTTTCACCCTGGACACTCCGACCAACTTAATTCAATGGAGTCAATCTCCTATCTCATTATAGCTGTATATTATTATACTTATCTATTTGTATTGTTGATATATTTTTGTCTCCTTCTATACTTATCTTTATCTCTTTGTATCTCTGTGTAGGTTTCTTTTCAGCCTATATATACAGACTTCTCCTATTGTATTATTCATTCAATTCAATATATCAAAATTACTCTCATAACATGGTATCAGAGCCTAGGGTCCTCTCCTAGCCTCTTTTTCTTCTTTATCACATTTTTTTTTTCTTGTTTGGTAGCTTGATTCTGCGTCACGTTGGTTCCTTCTTGGTTCTACGTTTCTCGTCCATCCATGTTTCCACATTTTGTAGTACTTTGTACTTCCGATTATAATGAAATTATATTTGATTATTTGATTATCTTGGTTTTGGACCTTCTTAGTCGATATTTGAGCCTTGGTTAAGGTGTTGCCATAGTGGTTGGGTGAGATTGAATCAAAAACTCTAAATTAGAATAGTTGTTATTGAGTAGTATTCACTATTTTATCATTTTCTCTCTTCCCACTTCGAATCTTGATGTGAGGCTAGAACCATTGGAAAATTTACTTCTGGGGCTTCAATTTGGACATAAGAACAACCTTAAACGGAGTCCGAATAAGAGATATACCTATTTGAAATTTACGAATCTATGCTGTGAGTATAGTGTGCTCGAGCCAACTTTCGACGCTCGAGCATACAACGCAGAATCAGATCTTTAAAAGTCACTTTTTTGGATCAAACCACTTTACTTTTCACTCCCTTCTCTCTCTCCTTCTTCCATTTTTGTTTTCTCAAGCTTTTTAGGCTTAATTTCATCTATTTCTATACATCTTTGGCCCCTAGTTCCGTATACCAAAATGTAGAGCACGACGATGGCTTCCATTTAATCTCAATGGATCGTTGTTTCATCGTCAGTGATTTTTCCGACTTGCTTCCTTCTTGCTTCAAGGTGGAGGGTCTATTTCTTAAACTCAATCTGAGTTCGGTAGTGTATTTGTGGTGTATTTTAAATAAATAGAACCCATTGTTCTTGGATTGATTTTTGATAATTTGTTTGTAAGTTAGGGTTTGTTCCAAATGGGAATGTTGAGCTATGGTTTAGCTACCTAAGTTTAGTTTCCACTTACAAAGAATATATATGAGTTTTTAAATGTAAAAAGCCCTAATTTGGAGAAATCCTAAAATGTTGATCTTTTGGAAAATTGTTGGATTATTAAATAAAAATGTAAATGAGGGGTTTTCAAATGTTTTCTTGAAAAAGGTTGTGATTATGAAATTGAAGTTAATATATGTTGAAATGAGCTATTTCTTGCATTGAAATGATTTTTCAAAGAAGAAGGGAGTTATGCCCTAAAATGTAATTTTTGAGATTATAAAGAAGAAATGGAATAAATGTTGAGAAATGTGAAATTGAAATAATGATTGATGATGATGGTGGGGTTGAATATGTATTATTACTTCAATTTGAGATTTTAGAAAAGTGCATCTTTAATAGAATTTATTTGTCTGTTTAGATATATTTGTTTTGGGCTATCGGTGCAGGATAGCTATGATTGTTGTAGAAACTGCATGTGGACTAGGCAAACTGGACTGTTTATAAATCATGCATATCATGGGCCATGCAATGGATTTTGAGGATTTAAACTGTATGTTTTGGAAAGAGATTTTGAAGACTCTTGTGTTATGTTTTAAGAGTATTTGTTTCATTTTGAAAATCATATTTTGGATCAAATGTATTGTGCTATTTGGAAAGGGTAAATAAAATGGTAAATCTGGAAAAACAAAACTAATCTCTTACCCGTTGCCATTGAATATGGTTATGATTTAATACATTGTAAATTTATGATGTTTGGGAGAAGAAAGGGAATGGACTATATTGAATTAGGTTGGCCTGTGTGTCCAAGGTGAAAGTCCCGAAAAACGTGCATATACATGGGTGCTGGTTCCTGCGGATGAAATTTCCGTAAAATGGCAATTGTGGTGCTTGTATAGCCTACGTTTACATAGGTCTCGTTTGACGGTTTCTTGCAGACGAAATTTCCATGAAAGGTTGTGTTGGTTTTAGAGATTTACTCGTTTTATTTATTATCATTTTGGTTTTGGAAAGAAATGATTTTAAACGATTTTAGCTATGTATTTGCTGTTGGTTAAAGATGTATTCATATTGGAATTGGCAATGAAATTGCTAGTTGGTATTGAGGTACCTAGATTGACTTGTGGAAATGGATTTTATATCAAACTAATGTATTGAATTCGGAAAACGTTTTGAATAAATGGAAGGTTTGGAAGACTGGAAAGAAAGGGTTTTTATTGAAAAAGCAAGTGGATTTAAGAATGCAATGAGCATATTATATATGTATGTATTGCATTCATGATTTTTACACTGGTGGAGCGTATTTAGTTTTTAAAATATTTCCTACTAGGCTTTATGCTCACCCTACGTGGCTGAAAATATTTTTCAGGTATGCTTATACGGACATGGACTAAGACGTTAAAGTTGTGTTTGGAACCGTGTAGGGTGGTTCCTTTATTTGTCGGCCAAGGGCTATTTATGTATTTGTTGGCCGTGTGCCATTCTTGTAAGGGTTATACCCTTTGTATATGATGTAAGCCTTTGGGTATCTTAATTTGATTTCTAACATCTTTGTATGTTTTTATTGCAGAGCATCCATTTGAGTTAGATGTTGTATCTAAGAATGCATAAAATTGGAATAACACATGTACTGTGTGTTTATATTATATACATCAGCATGAGTGTTGTTAGTGATCGTTTATCGTTGAGTGGTTTACTCACGTGCGCCCGACCTCATAAATCTGGGGTGTGACATGTTTAGACTATACCA